CTCTTGGCGAATGTCATATAGTTCTGCTTTAATGTCTTCCTGTGGATGCCCATAGTGCAAGGCTGGAGTTAATGGAGTGGAGTAACCATGCCACTTTCGTTTGAGCTCTCTCTCTGCCAACGGCGGAGGGTCTGTCTGCTTCTCCTGGATGTGTAGTCGGCTCACATCCCCGTGCCACCAATCCGTCTCTTGGAGAATAACGTCTCTGTTTGACGGTGTACTTGGTCGATAAAGGCTAAAGGAGGGGGTGAGGGGGGCCGTTCTGGTCATATCCTCCTGATATCTAGGCTCCACCGCCTCTCTTAAGGGTTGACTGAGAGAAGCTGGATAGTCCACTTCGTACGCTTCATAACGCACAGGGGGACGAATCTGTCGTTTAGGCCGTGCACCACGCACGTCATATCCTGGGAATGATTCCATCTCTGAAGTTATCCTAGTGTAATCCGGCTCGAAGGACCATTAATGTGAGTGAGGAAAACTCCAAATGTCTATGGCACTGGTCAGTCTTTATAACACTATGGTCACCTCGGTGTGTCGGCCAGAACACCACTTAAGGCCCATACATTCCCAGAATGAATCGGGTGCTTGAAGTTGCAGTTAACGATCCTTTAATCCAATTTTCATACAAAGATTACATGTGGGTGTGGTTTTCCTGCAAATAATATAGATACAAATACAATGAATAAGGATTTAAGATATATGCATCTTATAGGCACATTACCGTATGCATAAGTATAATACATAGTAACATAACAAAGTATACAGAGATCTGTTATGTGTAAACTAATTCGAAATTAAGTTACCACACATGCTTAAGGAACACATCCTGTATCGGTTACAAACAAACCAAATGCTCTTATTGTAAAGGTCTAACCGGATATACCACTCCCGGTGGAGTCACAACCCCCGTTTAGCGGTATATGTGACAAACCCGTCTTTAGCGTCGTAACATACATGTTTACAGAAACACCATGCAGTTTATAAACACACTGGTAACTTAAACAGTGAAACTGTAAACGCACTATGAACCGTGCACAAGAGAAAACAGATCCTAGGTCGAGCCAAATCATTCAACTAAGAGGCGTACATGAAACGAAAGGAAGTGCATAGCGAGAATAACAAGGTTAGCGACGTGCACTATTAATGAACACTTTACCACCTATCACATACAACCGCTTCCCCACAACCCTTAAAGGGCCCATAACTGATAATACATAGTATTAACGCACAACCACAAATCTCCATCACTAAGTAGACAAGCACCACTCGACACTCATACTACACCCCAGTGGAAGTGACGTCAATAGGCTACTTCATGCTTCAACTTAAAAGGCCCTGACCTAGGAAAGTAACCACTACAGTATAAACTTTGGGCCTTTTTTACACTTACACAAGATTATTACTGCTAACCTTGAAACAGAGCAGGCTAGAGCAGACTTTGAACTAAACTACATTACTAACACATTGAAGTCTAACACATTAAAGTCTAATAATTATCTGACGGATTTATCTATTTTTAACATACGTTTTGATTTCATAAAGTAAAATTAAGTTAGTAAACAGCAATTGAACTAAAGTTTGAGTACTCTTCACTGAATCTATTAGTTAATTTGGCATCATTTTAAATAATGCACAGTAATCCATAGTCGATAACCAAAACATATCAGTGGCTTCCGGTCTTTAGTCAATGAAATGGTTGGTTGTTGACTCTTTTATTTCAGGAGTATGTGTAAAAACAATGATTTATTTGTGAAGTGCAACACTAAGAATCCGTTTATAGAGACACGCAGGTAAATGTTTATGATATCTGTTATTATTTTATCACAAGTTTTATTATGAACAGAATCGGCTAGCGAACACCACGTGACCAGCGACGGCGTCGGCTGCTAGTCAGCTGACTGCCGTCTTCCGGGTTGGTGTTTACTTTCAGAGCTGCTCCTTTTTCAGCGATTTAAATCAAGGTAACGTCTCTATTTAAACAATTCCTGTAAAACTAACCTACGCTTTATTCAGATTCAGAGGAGATTTCTCTGACTTCGTGTTGAGCGGCAGAAACTGAGGTGGAAAATCGGTTTTAGCCACATAAACATGGCTGCAGCTAATTTTAACCAGAGGGGGGTTTAGGAACTTTTGAACCGGGGAGGTAAAGACTGGAGCAGAGGCTCATTTGTGAAACTGATAAAAATGTGCTTGGACTCGCGTTTAAAGCCCCGATTCTTGGCAGTTTATTCACTGTAGTAAATTAATGACAACAAATCTTGAACCTGACACCAAATATCCCACAGTAATGGACGGATCACGAGACAGTAGTGTTAGGTACTTTCTTAGTTAGATAGATATTGATTAGAGATCTGTTGTATTAGAAGATGTTAGTGTAGCCAGGATGTCTCCTCAGGCTGTTAAATGCAAGGTTAGTTAAAGCAGAGAAAGGCTGCAGTCAGGGATAAATGTTATTATGACGGTAAAAGTGACCATAATATTTGTCTTAATGTGAATTGTTGTGTTACAGTGTTTTTAGCTACACACCACTTAACCAACAGACATACACATTCACACGTTGGTTTGCTTCATGTTGTGACTACTACCAGAGCCAGCTGCAAGGCTGGTGAGAGAGAGACGTCTCGGTTGACGTTTCTGTGTAGGATGGGGCTAGCCCAACGAAGTGATTAAATTGTATAGGCTATTAGGTTCGGGGCTTCTTCTTCCGGGCTGCCTGCGAGCAGCTTTGGGGGTGGAAGATGCCTGGACGTGTAATGTTAATTCTTGCCTGTGACCCTTTGAATAAACCAGCACGGTTATATTTTTTATATATCCAAGTGGTCTGAGTCGTCCCTCTGAGTTCCTGGTTTGAAAGAACCGAATGTGGCTTTATAATAGAATAAAGCCTTTAGTAGAATGTTCTGAAGTCTGTGGCCCTGAGCTGACTGGCTGATGGAGAAAACAGCAAGTGGAGCTTCAGCCCCGCTTTGCAGCAGTTTGAGGATTGATATGTTTGTTTCTGTCAGTGCAGTTGTCTCCTACCTCGGTATCTGTGTCCGGTTGTCTCCTACCTCGGTATCTGTGTCCGGTTGTCTCCTACCTCGGTATCTGTGTCCGGTTGTCTCCTACCTCGGTATCTGTGTCCGGTTGTCTCCTACCTCGGTATCTGTGTCCGGTTGTCTCCTACCTCGGTATCTGTGTCCGGTTGTCTCCTACCTCGGTATCTGTGTCCGGTTGTCTCCTACCTCGGTATCTGTGTCCGGTTGTCTCCTACCTCGGTATCTGTGTCCGGTTGTCTCCTACCTCGGTATCTGTGTCCGGTTGTCTCCTACCTCGGTATCTGTGTCCGGTTGTCTCCTACCTCGGTATCTGTGTCCGGTTGTCTCCTACCTCGGTATCTGTGTCCGGTTGTCTCCTACCTCGGTATCTGTGTCCGGTTGTCTCCTACCTCGGTATCTGTGTCCGGTTGTCTCCTACCTCGGTATCTGTGTCCGGTTGTCTCCTACCTCGGTATCTGTGTCCGGTTGTCTCCTACCTCGGTATCTGTGTCCAGTTGTCTCCTCACCCATCTTTGGCCAGGTCCGCAAGAGGCCAGTCATGGTTTGGAGTCAGACCCCCGAGTACCAAGACAAGGACTAAACAATACCCCAGTTTTTCTAAAATGCAGTGACTTTGGAGACAGTTTTCATTTTCATAAGATCTTGTTTGCTCTCTTTTCTTTTTAAAAAATCTTTCCTCCTTCAAAAATCAAACTTATCACTTTAGAGGAGTAGAGCAAAACAAACAAGCAACACACACAAGTAAATAATAAATACATAAGCATTTACAAAGTATATCAAAGTAACAGAGCAGCCAGTAACATAAATACAAGTCAGACCCTGTTCCCGCAGACTCGATTGTCCAAGAATTCCACATGTGAAAGGCACGTGTTCAAAAAGTCTTTCTCTTTACGGTGAAGCTTATAGTAAACTTTATCAGGATAAAACTAGAGGTTTCATTTAGCCAGTGTGAGATTGTAGGTATATGTTTATACTTTCAGATAAAGTTAGAAGTGCAAGATTTTTATAACTCTATTCCAAGCGTCTGACTTGCTTGTACCCGGTAAAAAAAGAAGAGCTATTAGAATGCACATAGAGGTCAGAGGTCATACTAGCCCCTTACACGCGGTCCTTCAGGGTGGGATTGGTGCGCCTTTATTCTGCATCGCTGTGAACCGTCCACATCATCATATATGTGATTGGACAAAACATGAACACTTGCTGGTGTCAGTTGCGCATCAGAGCACACTGTTTGAGTCAATGTTGTGAATCAATCACTGGACCTTAATTTCTATATCACAACTTAGAGCATTCCATTTTGCAGGACAAACACTTTACTGATGATTGGATCTTCAAACGCTCACAATAATGCATCACTATGAATTTCTACCACACTGTGCCAGTAGGCCTGTTCTTTTTCCTCTCATGGAGAAAAACCTCGGCGGAGCATCGTTCCGCTGTGTTGCAGCAGCACTGCACCTGTGGTACTAATGCTGATTTCTAAGTCTCTTTCCCACTTGTTTACTGGTCTTATTTTCTTTTTGATTGTGATTAAAAAACATCTAGAAGAGGAGGCTGCTGCTAACACCCTAAATTAACACAAGCCTTTCTGTGTAAACAAATGCAGCTCTGCTACAACTCCACTTAAATGTAGCGTGGAACAGACTGAACCTCGGTGCTACACAGCGTGCTGTAACACAGTGTTAGGAGTGCAACCCTCTTTTGTAGATAAAATATTTCACAGTGTAAGGTTGGCCTAAAGTGGTATCAGGTGCACTTCTGTCAGATAACGGTTATGAGTATGAGTACAGCTATGAGCGCCGTATCAGACTGATACCAGTGTTGGTATCGGCATCCCGAGGTTGCGCTGAGGTGTCACAGGTCTGATGGTTATTTGCAGTTGGCCTATGTGGAGAAGCCATGAACACCTCAGACAGCGATGATGACTTCTACAATGAGAGGACGGCATTGGTCCCATCAGAGAATCCGGTGGTGCCATCCTACAAACCAGATCCTGATCTCACCCCCACCAACAGCACACCAACCACAAGGGTAAAGGTCAGGCTATTCCTTTACTACATCATCTCCTCTTTAGTGATGCTAATGTGAAATGTTCCTGTGATGCTGAATGTCGTCCTCTGTTGGTGCAGCCTGGGGCGAGCAGGAGGTCTGGCCCGGCTTGCGTGGACAGTGGCGGCTCGGATCAGGAGGTGGACGCAGATGATGAGGAGCTGACTCTGAAGTATGGAGCCAAGCACGTCATCATGCTGTTCATCCCCGTCACCCTGTGCATGGTGGTGGTGGTTGCCACCATCAAATCAGTCAGCTTCTATACCGAGAAGACCGACCAGCAGCTGTAGGTCCACTCTTCAGCCGTCAAATGCACGACGACTCCATTCACAGCTAACAATGCTTGTCTCCACAGGATCTACACGCCATTCACAGAAAACACGCCGTCTGTCGGCCTCCGGCTCCTCAACTCAGTCCTCAACACTATCATCATGATCAGCGTCATCGTGGTCATGACCATCTTCCTGGTTGTCCTCTACAAGTACCGCTGCTACAAGGTCAGGACCACGGTAGTGAATCAGAGCTACAGGCTGCATAGAAGCTTTTATATTCATGAATGACCAAGTCAGTTACAGTAAGTAGAGTCTCATAGCAAGTCCAAATTTAGTTACAAGTCCTCATTTTCACTGAGTCCGAGTCACTTTGGCTGACAGCTCTAAACACAACATCACCCATGAGCCTCAGCTGCTGTTGCTGTGGAAACTAAATAGGAAAATGAAAGTGAACTGAGTTACAGAGCCTGTAAAACATATTTACCCTCTGTTGGAGGTGACTTGTTTGACTGTCTTAGGACATTAAATCAAAGTGGATGTAATTCTTTGCAGTATTATGAAGCCTGCACTGGTTCAACACAGTAGCACAGAGTCTTTGTTAGTGATCGTGCTGCAGAAACTGTTGTGTTACAGCTTCTGGGCTTAAACGAGAGCACAGAGCATCACAAGAAGATGAAATTGGAGCTGCTGGAAAGATAAGAAGGGACACAGTTTGGCTGTTTGTTATTTAAGAACAACAGGGGCATAACGGGCGTAACCTGTTTTTCAGAGTTAGAATCCAAAGGCCTGGTGTCTCTGCTCTGGGCACAACCCAGCTGGTGTGATAAAAGCCCAAATAAGAAACCAGTGAAAGTTTAGCCACCAACAGCGCCGCATAGAGAAATGCCCTTTTGGACCACCGGTCTAAACCGTTCAGCCCAAAACAACACAGATGTGCTGCTGGGACAGTTGATCCTCATGGTTCAGTGTCAAGAATTGCTACAGAAACATTAAATACTGCTGTGTCCTGAAACTTCCCCTCTCTGATAACACCTACAAGGCTGACAGCCATTAAAATCAACAGCGAGCTGCTTAATATGTTAAAATGGGCCTCTCCAGTTTGTCTTGACATGAGAAGAACAGAATGTGCAAACCCTGTCCAATCTGTCCTCAGTGTTAAATCAGTCCGTAAAGAATCTCAGCCCACATTCTTCAGATGAGTGAAAAAACCTGCATTTGATTGAGCTGCTCAAATACTGTTGCAGGGTTTGTGCTCTTAAATCCGTCCATCATCAGCACAAACCAAGAGTATTATAAGAGAGCACAGTGTCTGTGTAAGGATAATCTAGCCACAGGGGTTGGAAGCCAGTGACATCTGTGTCGGTTCC